TTTTTTTTTTTTTTTTTTTTTTTTTTTTTTTTTTTTTTTTTGTGGTCTTATGGAATATTTGGCTTGACAGAAATAGGATGGGCTTTTAGCAATTTGGAGGTATTGGGAAGAGATTTGAGCCTTGGCTAGGTTCAATTCCCCTCTTTGGATCTAGTAATTGAATTGGAGCCCTTTGTTGTAAATTTATAGTTTGTTTGTCTTTAGTTTCTTGGCTCTTTTATTTTGGGTATTCTGTTTCTACATGCACAAAGAACTAGTTTTTTACTTACTTTTTCTTTCTTGCAAACTAGTTGATTAGGAGAAACTAACACATTTGGTTTCTATATCTTCAGATTGTTTATACATCTGTTTGTTTGGCTGATATACCAAGCGAGCCTTCGGATTTCTTTCCACTTTTTGTTAATTATCAAGAACGTTTTTCTGCAGCAGGTCGGACTAGGTCTGCATTGCACTCCTTCCTACTTGTTTTCTGTAGTTATTTTTTTCTTCTAGTTTGATGCATAACCTTGTTTATACCTTTGGCGCAGCGGAGGATTCTTCAAACGCGAAGGAAGAGCAAGAGATCACGAGGTAGTCTGTTTGCTAAATTTATTTTCTTTTTCCATTTTCAAAAGAAACATTGTTTTAAATATTTTCATAATATTCTAGTTTAAGTTTTCTTGTGACAAGTTTGGCAATGTAGGTTAATCATGGGCTACATTTTGAGCTATTCTCATCATGATAAGATGCAAAATATAAGAAGCACATATTTTTGGCAAAAGGAGGCATAGTTATACATTTGTAAACATTGCACGTAAATTTATTCTGAAATAAACCCTTCAAATATTTGTGTTTGATGCATCAACTTCTACCGTGAATTAGTTTTCCCAAACTAGGTAATTGGGGGTACAATTGTCGAACCCAAAGGCTTAACAAGAAGCTTTGGCACTTCACTTCACCAATTCTATTGCCTATAATTACGTTGGAGACCTTGCCTTTTAGCATGCATCTTGTCTTCAATATAGAATGCTTTTATGTTCCATTTTCTGCTTTTAGGTTAAGAACCATCAAAGCACACAACTGGTTTCATTCTCTGTCAATATTCTGATAATGAGTTTTCTTCCTTCAGAGCGATATTTGTTTTTGTA